ATGGACGTCGCTCGTACGTCCATGATGCATGCGGCTGCCCCCCATTTTCTGTGGCCGTTTGCGGTTCGGTACGCGGCGCATCAGATCAACCTTCACCCCAGGGTCTCCATGCCGGAGACCTCCCCAGCTCTGCTGTGGACCGGGAAGGTAGGCGATGCGTCTGCGTTCCGTGTCTGGGGATCTCGGGCGTTTGTCCGCGACTTCTCTGCGGACAAGCTGTCCCCTCGTGCTGCTCCTTGTGTCTTCCTTGGCTTCCCCCGTGACGCACCAGGGTGGCAGTTCTACCACCCCTCCTCTCGTCGTGTTCTGTCCTCCCAGGACGTCACGTTTGACGAGTCGGTCCCCTACTACCGTCTCTTCCCCTACCGCACTCCTTCCCTCCCCCCACCGCCGCACTTCCTTGTGCAAGGTCCCCCCCAGGTAGACCCCCTCCCCCCTCAGGGTCCTGCCCCTTCAGGTGTGTCCCAGGTAGACGCAGTCGAGCCGGTCGAGGTTGCTGGTGACTCTGGTACTGCTGCGGGTGCTGAGCCTGGGGGTGCTGACTCTGGGGGTGCTGCGCGAGTGGGTGCTGAGCCTGGGGGTGCTGAGCCTAGGGGTGCTACGACTGGGGGTGCTAAGCCTGGGGTTCCTTCGCCTGGGGTTGCTGCGTCTGGAGCTGCTGAGCCTAGGGGTGCTGCGTCTGGAGCTGCTGAGCCTAGGGGTGCTGAGTCTGGAGCTGCTGAGCCTGGGGGTGCGGAGCCCGCCGCCGCTGGACCTGCTCGTGTGGCGTCTGGCGGTGCTGGGCCTGGTGGTTCTCCGGGTGCTTCGTCTCGGCGGGAGCCACTCTCTCCACAGGAGCTGCGCGAGTGGTTTGCCCAGCGCTGGAGGCGTACTGCTGGAGCTGGTGCTTCTTTGGCTGCTGAGGGTGCTAGTGCCGCCGGTCTTGGAGGTGCTAGTCCTGGGAGTGCTGGAGCTGCTGGGCCTGCGAGTGTGACTGGAGTCGGAGCTGATGAGGGTGTTGGCGCTGAGGCTACTGCCGTTAGTCCTGGCGGCGGTCCTGCTGCGGGTGCTGCTGGTGCTGCTGGAGGTCCTGGAGCTGGAGGTGCTGTTGGCGCTGGTGCTGCCGCCGGGGGTGCTAGTGTTGTCCCTGCTGAGTCTGGAGTCGCCGAGCGGCCTCGGCCGTACTTTATTCCGCTCCTTCAGCAGGTTCTTGGTCTTCCTCCTCCCTTAGAGTGTCCACCGCCTGTCCAGTCACAGTCACAGTTACCGCCGGCCTCCCCACTGCCTGCTCCTTCTCCCTACACTGGTCCTACTGGAGGTCTTGCTGAGCGTCGTGAGCCTGCGTCTCGTCCTGCGTCGCCTGTTCGTGCTGCTCGCGCTAGTGGTCGCGGTTCGCGTCAGCGTCCTCCTCCTGTCCCTGGCACGCACCGGATGTCTCTGCGTCCGTCCACTGCTCCTGTGCGTGCCCCTTTTCCTTCTCCTCCTGAGTCCTCTCTTCCTGCCCTTGCCGACCCGGAGTCGGACTCTCTTCGTGCTGCCAGTCCTACTGTCGCGCGTCTCCTTGCTACTGCTGTCACTGACCCCTCTTTTGAGTCCACTGCTGCGTCTGCTCTTGTTGCTGAGCTCGTCGACTTTGCTGCTCGCTGTCGTCTAGACTACGCTGCAAGTCTCGTTGCTTAGTCTGCGTCTGTCTGTCCTCCGTCCGTCGGGGGTGAGTGTGCTCTTGGCACGGACGTCCTTGAGGACAGGCAGGAGGAGTTCCAGTGTCTGGTTGCTGCTTCACCTCATCTCGTGTCCGTACTGCTTACCCCTGAGGGAGACCCGGATGCACTTGACATCCCGACTCCGCGCTCTTACGCGAAGGCCGTAGAGGGTCCCTACTCCTCTCTGTGGCAGGCAGCTATGGATGCAGAGATGGCTTCCTGGAAGTCCACAGGCACCTACGTTAACGCGGTTCCCCCTCCTGGGGCGAACATTATTAGTGGCATGTGGATCTTCAGGGTGAAGCGGCCGCCGGGCTCTCCGCCTGTCTTCAAGGCGCGGTACGTGGCTCGTGGCTTCAGTCAGCGGCAGGGAGTTGACTACTTTCAGACCTTCTCTCCCACCCCAAAGATGACCACTCTTCGGGTGCTGCTACACATAGCCGCTCAGCGCGACTACGAGCTTCACTCCCTTGACTTCTGCACTGCTTTCCTGCAGGGTAGCCTGCACGAGGAGATTTGGCTGCGCTGTCCACCTGGCTTCACTGGGACTTTCCCTCCTGGCACCCAGTGGAGCCTCCGACGGCCAGTCTACGGTCTCCGCCAGGCACCGCGCGAGTGGCACGACACACTGAGGACTACGCTTGCGGCTCTTGGGTTTGCTCCCTCTACTGCTGACCCGTCGCTGTTTCTACGCACCGACACCTCTCTACCGCCGTTCTACATCCTCGTGAACGTCGACAACTTGGTCTTTGCCACTACTGACACTTCTGGACTCGCCCACGTGAAGTCCGAGCTGCAGAAGAGACACACGTGCACAGACCTGGGTGAACTGCGCAGCTACCTTGGCTTGCAGATCACCCGGGACAGAGCACGCCGCACCATTACCCGGACTCAGTCACACATGGTGCAGCAGGTCCTTCAGCGCTTCGGCTTCACGTACTCCTCGCCTCAGGCCACTCCTTTGCCTACTCGCCACTCGCTCTCAGCTCTGCCTTCGGATGAGTCCGCAGAGTCGAGTGGCCCGTACCCAGAGCTTGTTGGCTGCCTCATGTACCTGATGACCTGCACACGACCTGACCTTGCATACCCTCTTAGCATTCTTGCACGCTATGTTGCTCCTGGGAGACACAGACCAGAGCACATGGCTGCGGCGAAGAGGGTGTTGCGTTACTTGTGCAGTACGTCGGGCATGGGGCTTGTGCTTGGAGGGCAGAGTCCAGTGGTCCTCACTGGGCACGCGGACGCTTCTTGGGCTGACGACCAGGCTACGCAGCGGTTGTCACAGGGTTACACCTTCAGCTTTGGTTCCGGCTCTGTCTCGTGGTGGGCTACTCGCTCGTCTTCTGTTCTCGGCTCCAGTTGTGAGGCCGAGATCTACGCCGGGGCCATGGGTGCACAGGAGGTTCGTTGGCTCACCTACCTGCTGACCGGCCTTGGAGAGCCGCCTCGTTCTCCTCCAGTCCTGTACGTAGACAACAAGGCCATGCTGGCCTTGTGTCGAGAGCAGAGACTGGAGCAAAGAACAAAGCACATTGCTCTTCGCTACTTCCTTGCTCGTGAGCTACAGCAGCGTGGTCAGTTGCGGCTTGCGTACGTGGCCTCTGAGGCCAACACTGCTGATGTTTTTACCAAGGCACTTCCGCCTTGTGATCATCAGCGCTTCTGCACTCAGCTGGGTCTTGTCCCTGTCTTGCCTCACTTGCTCACCCCTTGACCTTGCTTGTACTCTTACATATATATATATATACCTGGTCTTGCTTGTTTAGCCTTATATATATATATGTATATATATATATATGTATGTGTGTCTGTGTACTCCTGCATGTGAACTGGCCTTGTGGCCTTGACCTTGTGCTCGGACTGTGTGGTGACTTTGTGATCCACCCTGAGCTTTGCTTTGCTTTGCTTTACTTGACTGGTCTTGTGACCCCTTGTTCTCCCCCACTTTGCCTATGGGGGTGTGTCAGATTTATATGACATAGCTGTTGTAGGCTATAGTGGGGTAGCACATATGGGGTACAGCTTTCTAGGGTTTGTATTTGTACCCAACTTTCTAGGGTTTGTATTATAGTCAATTCATTCTCGTTCTAAATTTCACAACAACACCTCTAGGTTTTCCTACTTGTACCCACCTGCTTGCTAGTTCATTCACTTCCTCATTTCTTCACATGGTATAGAGCAGGTTCCCTAGTGGGAACTTTTCCTAGGGCCCACCACTGAACATCGATTTTTTTTCTGCCCTGAGATCGAGTCGCCCCTGACCGAGGCGCGCCCTGTGTGCCGCCCTCCCCTTAGCGACCCATCGCGCCGCCCTTAGCGGCCCCACCCTCTCACGGCCCCTCACGACCCTGTCGCCGCCCCCTAGCGACCCGTCGCGCCGCCCTGAGCGGCCTGTCGCGCCGCCCTCAGCGGCCCCTTGCGGCCCCACCTACGCGGCCCCGTCGCCGCCCTCTCGCGGCCCCGTCGCCGCCCTCTCGCGGCCCCGTCGCCGCCGTTAGCGGCCCCGCCGCCGCCCTCGCGGCCTCGTCGCCGCTCCCTACGCGGCCTTGTCGCCGCCCTCTCGCGGCCCTGTCGCCGCCGTTAGCGGCCCCGCCGCCGCCCTCGCGGCCTCGTCGCCGCCCCCTACGCGGCCCCGTCGCCGCCCTCCCGCGGCCCCGTCGCCGCAGTTAGCGGCCCCGCCGCCGCCCTCACGGCCTCGTCGCCGCCCTCTCGCGGCCGCGTCGTCGCCCTCTCGCAGCCCCAGTGCCGCCCTCTTGCGGCCTCGTCGCCGCCCTTAGCGGCCCCGTTGCCGCCCCTTGAGGCCCTGTCGCCGCCCTTAGCGGCCCCGTTGCCGCCCCTTGAGGCCCTGTCGCCGCCCCTTGCGGCCCCGTCGCCGCCCCCTTGCGGCCTCGTCGCCGCCCTTAGCGGCCCCGTCGCCACCCCTTGCGGCCCCGACGCCGCCCTTAGCGGCCCTGTCGCCGCCCCTTGCGGCCCTGTCGGCGCCCCCTTTCGGCCCCTCCCCGGCCCCTTCACCGCCGAGCAGCCGAACCGCAGAGCCGCCGAGCAGCCAAGCCGCCAAACCACCGAGCCGCCGAGCCGCGAAGCAGCCGAGCCGGCGAGCCGCCAAGCAGCCGAGCCACCGAGCCGCCGAGCAGCCGAGCCGCCGAACCACCGAGCCGCCGAGCCGCCCCTACCGAGCCGCTGCCGCCGAGCCGGTGTCGAGCCACTACTGCCACTGCCGAGTCGCTGCCACCGCGGTTTCAACCCTGTTCCTCCCGGCGCGCCCCAGCCCTACCCACCCGGATTGGTGAGAGCATTCCCTGCTAGACCACTGCTGTCATGGCTACCCCTAGTGTCCTTACCTTTGATGCTGAGGGTTGTGCTGTTGACTTTGAGGTTTGGGTAGATGACCTGCAGCTCTTCCTACAGTGCGATAGGGCAGACGGCCTCTCCCTGTTCGATCTCACCTCTGGTGCCTCTCCTGCCCCGCCTACTGATGCTGACAGCACTGTTCGCTGACAGTGGGCCACACGCGATGCTGCTGCCCGTCTTGCTGTGCGTCACCACTTACCGACCGCTGAGCGTGCGCACTTTAGTCAGTACAAGAGTGCTAAGACCTTGTACGACGCTCTAGTTGCACGTTACTCTTCCCCTGCCACTGCTGCACTTAGCCGCCTCATACTGCGATACCTGTTTCCTGACCTCGCCGCCTTTCCCACTGTCGCTGACCTCGTTACGCACCTTTGCACTAGTGACACCCGCTACCGCGCTGCGCTTCCTGCTGAGTTCTGCGCCAAGAACCCCCCCCCCCCCCATGTACATCACCCTCTACTACATAGTCACTCGGCTCCCTGACTCCCTTCGCTCGGTCAGGGACCACTTCCTCTCTGTTTGTCCCACCACACTCACCGTTGACCTCCTCAAGGAGCGCCTCCTGGCAGCTGAGAAGAGTATAGTCGCTGTAGGAGCCTCTCGAGGTGACCCGCGTGCCCCTGTCTTTGCTCCCCCTCCCCCCTTTTGCCCTCTGTTGCCTCTGCTGTTGCCGTCGACTTCGTTGGCACCGAGTCGGTCGACGCTGCGTCTGCCCCTAGCGGGCGACGCCGCACCGGCAAGGGCAAGGGGGGCAAGGGCGCTGGAGGGGCTGGCGGGGGTGGTGGAGGTGGAGGTGGAGGAGGTGGAGGGAGTGGGGGTGGTGGTGGGAGTGGTGGCGGGGGTGGGGGCTTCAGTGGCGGCGGTGGCGGCGGAGGCGGCGGAGGAGGTGGAGCTAGTCGGGGTGGCTCTGCGCAGCGGGGCGGCTTAGGTGGTGGTAAGCGCCAGCAGCAGCAGCGCACTCGTGAGACCTCGTCCCCCCAGCAGCTTCGTGAGTGGTACGCTGGGCGTCAGCGAGGTGGGGGTACTGGTCCCTGTACCTACGTCCTCCGTACCGGCAACCGCGCTGGTGAGCAGTGCGGGGGCTCGCACTCCACCCAGCGCTGCTTCGGCCGCCTGACGGACGCTTGGCGTCACCAGTTCCCTGACGCCACTGAGATCCCTCGCTGGGGAGAGCTGTCTAGGGCGGGGGTTGCTATCTTTGATCTTGACTATGATGCTATTCTTGCTGCCATGTATGCGGTGTCTATTGATGATGAGGGTGACTGTTACCTGTGTGTTCCGCCTGACCCGGGCATTGAGGCTGCTGCTCTAGGTACTGGTGAGGCTGCTGCTCTAGGTGCTAGTGCGTCTGCTGCCCCAGGTGCTGGTGAGTCTGCTCTCTCAGGTACCACGTTGGCTCAGGCCTTACACACCTTCACCCTTTACTTGGGTGCTTCCCGCTCCTTCTATCGAGACCGCACCACGCTTACGCCGCTTAGTCGGCCGGTTGCGGTCTTCCTGGCGGACCCCTCTGGGGGTCCTGTTTGTGAGAGTACGACGGCTTATGCCAGCTATGCTTGCTTGCCTTTACATTTATCATGCTATTTCTAGCATAGGATAATTATATGCATGCATGAATTGCTTGATTTCCTAGGCTAGGTGCTTTCCTATATTTTATTTTAGTTATAGCACCGAGCTAGGTTGCGTGCACCGAATTCTGGCTTTTCGGTTGCCACCGAATTGCCTTATACCGAATTCGGTAAGGATCTGTTCGGGACGCTTCGCGACCCACGGAACCTTCGCGTAACACCTGGTTACGGGGCCTTGTGTCGAGCCTATATATAGCCTCGTGTTGTACCCAGGTGGACATTCAATTCAATTCAATTTGAATCATCTTTTCTGAGCTCAATCCTCCATCCTCACACTGTCCTTGCTCGCTTCTCCACTGTCTTACCGTGTCCGGCAGCCCCCTCTGGCTCCCTGTCAGGTCTCTACCTCCCCTCGTTCTCTACGAACTTGGTGAGTGGTGCTGATCTATAGGATGGGGGGGTTGACCAGTTCACTCCTGCGAGTCAGCGGGTGACCCACTGTACGTGTGCTCGGACGGGCCGACACTTGGCCACGTTTACCCGTCGGCCGGGGTCGAGCCTGTACACACTGACTACTGAGTCTCCTCCGGTTGCTGAGTCTGGTCAGGTAGCTGCGTCGAGTCAGGTGTTTGCTGTAGCGTCCAGGTCTGGTCCTGAGTCTGCTCCCTGCTCGTGTCGTCTCCTGTCCCACCTGACTCTCCTTTGGCACCACCGCCTTGGTCACCCCTCCCTGCCTCGTCTCCGAGGCATGGCCTCCCGTGTCCTTGTCTCTGGTCTCCCCCGGTCCCTCCCTCCCCTCCCTCCGGGGCCTGCCCCTACCTGCGTCCCCTGCGTCGAGGGGTGGCAGTGCGCCGCCCCTCACTCCTCCGAGTTTCCTCAGACCTAGGCTCCCCTGCAGAGTCTTCATATGGACGTGTGGGGCCCCGCCCGCGTCCGTGGCCGGGGTCACGAGCGTTACTTCTTGTTGGTGGTTGACGACTACTCGCGTTACACCACGGTCTTCCCCTTGCGCAGCAAGGGTGACGTCACTGAGGTGTTGATCGACTGGATCCGCGCGGCTCGTCTCCAGCTCAGAGAGAGTTTCGGCTAAGGAGGCGGGGAGTTTCTGCGTCTGCACTCAGACAGAGGCGGGGATTTTTCCTCTGCTCGTCTGGGAGCCTTCTGTTGTGCACGGGGCATCCGCCAGACCTTCACGCTTCCGGCCTCCCCACAGCAAAATGGGATTGCTGAGCGCCGCATTGGCATGGTCATGGACGTCGCTCGTACGTCCATGATCCATGCGGCTGCCCCCCATTTTCTGTGGCCGTTTGCAGTTCAGTACGCCGCGCATCAGCTCAACCTTCAGCCCCGAGTCTCCTTGCCGGAGACCTCCCCCACCCTGAGGTGGACGGGGAAGGTTGGCGATGCGTCTGCGTTCCGTGTCTGGGGATCTCGGGCGTTTGTCCGCGACTTGTCTGCGGACAAGCTGTCCCCCCGTGCAGTTCCCTGCGTCTTCCTTGGCTTCCCCCCTGACGCGTCTGGTTGGCAGTTTTACCACCCCACCTCGCGCCGTGTTCTGTGCTCCCAGGACGTCACGTTTGACGAGTCGGTGCCTTACTACCGTCTCTTCCCCTACCGCACTGCGCCCCTCCCCCCGTCGCCGCTCTTCCTTGCGCCAAGTCCTCCCCCGGTAGACCCTCTCCCCCCTCAGGGTCTTGCCCCGTCAGGTGTGTCCCAGGTAGACGCAGTCGAGCCTGTCGAGGTAGCTGTTGACTCTGGTGCTGCTAGGGGTGCTGAGCCTGCGGGTGCTGAGTCTAGGGGTGCTAAGCCTGGGGGTGTTGCGTCTGGGGGTGCTGAGCCTGGGGGTGCGGAGCCTGGGGGTGCGGAGCCTGGAGGTGCTGAGCCTGGGGGTGCAGAGCCTGGGGGTACGGAGCCTGGGGGTGCTGAGCCTGGGGGTGCTGGGTCTGCTCGTGTGGCCTCTGGCGTTGTTTCGTCGAGGCGGGAGCTACCCTCTCCACAGGAGCTGCGCGAGTGGTTTGCCCGGCGTTGGAGCTGTGCTCCTGGAGCTGGAGGTGCTGCTGATACTGCTGACCCTGGGGTCGGCACTGGAGTTACTGGAGCCACTGGTCCTGGAGGTTCTCATACTAGCGGTACTTGAGCTGCTGGGACTGGGGGTGCTGCTGGGGCTGCTGGAGTTGGTCCTGCTGGCGGTACTGGAGCTGGCGGTCCTGTTGGAGTTGGTATTGCTGGAGCTGCTGGAGATGGAGCTGTTGGAGCTGCTGGAGCTGGAGCTGTTGGGGGTGTTGGCGCTGGAGGTGCTGTTGGCGCTGGTGCTTCTGAGGGTGCTGGAGTTGGCGTTGTTGGGGATGGAGGTGCTGCTGGCGCTCGTGCTGCCGCTGGGGGTACTGGTGCTGTCCCTGCTGGTTCTGGAGGCGCTGCGTGGTAGTGGGCGTACTTCGTTCTGCTCCTTGAGCAGGTTCTTGGTCTCCCGCCCTCTACTGGTCCTGCTCCTCCCTTAGAGTGTCCACAGCCTGTCCAGTCGCGGTCACAGTTACAGCCCGCCTCCCCCCTACCTGCTCCTTCTCCCTACACTGGTCCTACTGGAGGTCTTGCTGAGTGTCGTGAGCCCGCGTCTCGTCCTGCGTCGCGTGTTCGTGCTGCTCGCACTAGTCGTCGTGCTCCGCGTCCGCGTCCTCCTGCGATCCCAGGCACACACCAGATGGCACTACGTCCTTCCACTGCTCCTCTACGTGTCCCTTTGCCGTCTCCTCCAGAGTCCTCTCTTCCTGTTCTTGCTGACCTGGAGTCTGACTCTCGTCATGCTGCCAGTCCTACTGTAACGCGTCTCCTGGCTACTGTTGTCACTGACCCTTCCTTTGAGTCCACTACTGCGTTTGCCTTGGTTGCTGAGCTTGTCGACTTTGCTGCTCGCTGTCGTCTAGACTACGCCACTAGTCATGTTGCTGAGTCTGATTCTGTCTGTCCTCCGTCCGTCGGGGGTGAGTGTGCTCTTAGCACGGACGTCCTTGAGGACAGGCAGGAGGAGTTCAAGTGTTTTGCTGCTGCTTTGCCTCATCTCGTGTCCACGCTGATTGCCCCTGAGGGAGACCCGGATGCACCAGTCATCCCGACTCCTCGATCGTACACTGAGGCGATCGAGGGTCCCTACTCCTCACAGTGGCAGTTAGCCATGGACGCAGAGATGGCTTCCTCGAAGTCCACAGGCACCTACGTCGACGAGGATCCCCCACCTGGGGCGAACATCGTCAGTGGCATGTGGATTTTCCGGGTGAAGTGGTCGCCGGGTTCTCCGCCTGTCTTCAAGGCGCGTTACGTGGCTCGAGGCTTCAGTCAGCGGCAGGGAGTTGACTACTTTCAGACCTTCTCTCCCACCCCGAAGATGACCACTCTTCGGGTGTTGCTGCACATAGCCGCTCAGCGCGACTACGAGCTTCACTCTCTTGACTTCAGCACTGCTTTCCTGCAGGGCAGCCTGCACGAGGAGATCTGGCTGCGCCGCCCACCTGGCTTCACTGGGTCGTTTCCTGCAGGTACCCAGTGGAGCCTCCGGCGGCCAGTCTACGGTCTCCGCCAGGCGCCCCGTGAGTGGCACGACACACTGAGGACTACACTTGTGGCTCTTGGGTTTGCTCCTTCTACAGCCGACCCGTCGCTGTTTCTGCGGACCGACACCTCTTTGCCGCCGTTCTACATCCTCGTGTACGTTGACGACTTGGTCTTTGCCACAGCTGACACTGCTGGACTCGCCCACGTGAAGTCGGAGCTGCAGAAAAGACACACGTGCACAGACCTGGGTGAACTGCGCAGCTACCTTGGCTTGCAGATCACCCGGGACAGAGCACAGCGCACCATTACACTGACTTAGTCACACATGGTGCAGCAGGTCCTTCAGCGCTTCGACTTCACGTACTCCTCGCCTCAGGCCACTCCTCTGTCTACTCGCCACTCGCTCTCAGCTCTGCCTTCGAATGAGTCCGTAGAGCCGAGTGGCCCGTACCCAGAGCTTGTTGGCTGCCTCATGTACCTGATGACCTGCACACGACCTGACCTTGCATACCCTCTTAGCATCTTGGCACGCTATGTTGCTCCTAGGAGACACCGACCAGAGCACATGGCTGTAGCGAAGAGGGTGTTGCGCTACTTGTGCAGTACGTCGGGCATGGGGCTAGTGCTTGGAGGGCGACGTTTAGTGGTCCTCATAGGTCACGCAGACGCTTCTTGGGCTGACGACCAGGCTACGCAGCGGTCGTCAAAGGGTTACACCTTTAGCCTTGGTTCCGGCTCTGTTTCGTGGTGGTCTACCCGCTCGTCTTCTGTTCTCGGCTCCAGCTGTGAGGCTGAGATCTACGCGGGGGCCATGGCTGCACAGGAGCTACGCTGGCTCACCTACCTGCTGACTGACCTAGGAGAGCCGCCTCGTTCTCCTCCAGTTCTGTACGTAGACAACAAGGCCATGCTGGCCTTGTATCGGGAGCACAGACTGGAGCACAGAACGAAGCACATTGCTCTTCGCTACTTCCTTGCTCGTGAGCTACAGCAGCGTGGTCAGCTGCGCCTTGCTTACGTGGCTTCTCAGGCCAACACTGCTGATATCTTTACCAAGGCACTTCCGCCTTGTGATCATCAGCGCGCTTTTGTACGATGCTAGGTCTTGTGCCTACTTGGCCTTACTTGCTCACTTCTTGACCTTGCTTGTACTGTGATCTTACAATGCCTGCACTTTCTTGTTTACCTTTATATATGATCTTGCATGTGAACTGGCCTTGTGGCCTTGAGCTTGTGCTCGGACTGTGTGGTGACGTTGTGGTCCACCCTGAGCTTGCTTTGCTTTGCTTGACTGGTCGTGTGACCTCTTGTTCTCCCCCACTTTGCCTATGGGGGTGTGTCAAACTCATATGCTATAGTCTGTGTAGGGTATAGTGGGTTAGACAATATGGGGTACAACACCTCTAGGTTTTCCTACTTGTACCCACCTACTTGCTAGTTGTTTCACTTCCTCATTTCTTCACATAACATTACCATTCGCG